AAGGCATTTCTTGTTTCAAGTTACTATTTGAATGTTATTATCTTTGGTGTAAATTGCTCTGTTTCTACGCTTGGTTGACCAGATACGTCGTGTGTTTGTTGGTCATCTATATTCTACGATACAATGACATGAGCGTGTTACCCTTCAGATTTGAGGATATAGCTGATAGAAGGAGGTCAGCAAATGAACTCTGCAACGATTTTCCAACCTAGAGCGTCAACCTGAGAAGGGTTGTAGGCGTACTGCCTTAAGTCCTACAATTCTTCAAAGGCTAGCGCATCAATGAGCAGTCCAATGTGCTTGGTGTGTGATTTTGTACATAAGTTCATATCATATATACTGAATTGATATCATCTGTCATCTAGCTGTTGGTAATTCTGTTTGTGTCCGAACGACTTCCACTTGGATCATCAACCTGAGAAGGAATGTAGGCGTACTGCTGTAAGTCCTACAGTTCTTCAAGGGTAGTTTGTCGTGCCAGAATCCACCACATTTGATGTGTTGATTGTACATATGTTCGTGTTAAATAATTGTGTGAGTTCCAATTGATGTAATTGTTGGTTAATCTTGTTTGTGTCCGGACATTCCACAACGTACAATCGTCAACCTGTGAAGGGTTGTGGGCGTACTGGTCTAAGTCCTGCGATTCTTCAAAGGAATTCCATCAAGACATGAACTGCGAGTTTGTGTGTACTGTTTGTATATACGTGTGGTGTGTCATATCAATCGGTGTTTTTGGATTAATTATGTTTACTCGTTGTTTTCGTACCTTGTTTTTATTGCATAATTTTGTTAAAATTTTCGTCGTGCTTACTTCTGAAGTTGTTTTGAGTCTTCTACATCCGTGAATGAATTGATTGATGTTAAGGACAGCAGATGGGTCGTATACGCCGGGGAGGCTATCGCTGAGAATGAAATGCACACGGAGATAATTGTTAGCTGTGGTCCCACACTCCGGGGAGAAAGAGTGTAAACGACTGAGGCTCGCATATGTCATCGTTACTAGAATTGAGGCAGAATGAGTGACAAGCGATTTCAGTGGTAATTGGTAGTGAGTAGATAAGAGGATGAGCGTAGAGTATCGTGAGGTACTGCCATGGTCACGTTGCATTCTGCAAGAGTCATTCTAACAAGTGGCGATTGTGTTGCGAGATGTCAAGAGGATGCCTTTAACTGGAAGGCGCAGGTCGTCATTGATGTGTGAGATTGTGCTGTGAGTATGCTTGTGGTGTGTTGGCTTTTCTGTTTGTTTTCCATTTCAGCTCTGTCCGTGTGACCCAGGTTCTCGCAATGGCATCCAAGTCAACGCGTATTGGTCGTGATAGAAAAAGGGGTTGGATCCCTTTTTTGCCGGGGAGTGTCAATGTAGTTGAAGATTGAACGATCAATTCATGGTTGTTTGCTCAAAACCAACTTCCCCATAATCTTCACAGGTCATCCATCAGTCATCGTCTCATCGGTCGCTGTTCAGAAAGAAGACATAGAAAACTGTCAGAAGTAATATTGTGATTTATTATTGTAATATTTGTTCACAGACCTTAGTCATACTTGATTAATATGTTGGTGTAACAATAAAGAATCCTCAAGTCAACAATTGGTGTTTTGGTTTTTTCGTCCGTTATTACTAAGCGTTTCTGAGAAACTTCAAGCGACAGCGTGAGCCCGAGCGTAGCAAGAGCTGGGCATTAACGGTTTACGAGACGTGACTGACAAATGTCTTGACGTAATTCCCTTGAATAATTATAGGACTTACACGAGAGCGCATGCAAACGTTTTCAAGTTGACGAGTGTAGGTTGGAAAATCGTTGCAGAGTTCATTTGCTGACCTCCTTCTATCAGCTATATCCTCAAATCTGAAGGGTAACACGCTCATGTCATTGTATCGTAGAATATAGATGACCAACAAACACACGACGTATCTGGTCAACCAAGCGTAGAAACAGAGCAATTTACACCAAAGATAATAACATTCAAATAGTAACTTGAAACAAGAAATGCCTTTATTCGTGCAAGTCAATTTAACAATTACCCTCTCGTTTACACTTGGCTTATTCTCACTAAACTGACCAATATCTTTCGCCTTTTCAAATGCACCAATACTATCAAAGTCATTGCACAAGATACTTGAGTTGATGGGCGTCCTTCTCATTGTGGATGACAGCACCAACGACGACTGATTGATATCAGTTGATGAAGTTAGCGGTGGATCAAAAGCTGTTGTTGCTCGGCTTTCAGAAATTTGTCTACATGCAAGACCACCACCACTGCTGTCTTTTACTATCGGCTCAGGTTTAGCAATAGCATCTGATGATAGGTGGGCTACATGCTGATCAATTACACTGACGATCTCACACGTATCCATGCCTTCTGCAACTGCATCTGCCTTTGGGTCTACTTCACGTTCAAGTTGTACAGAAACTTTGTTCAACTTAGCAGTAGTAGGCATATCCCTCATCTCATCCTGATCAACCAAAGACAACTGTGCACTATCATGATCATTATCACGAATATTCACTTTACCGTCAATTTCATCATTTTCAAACTCTTCAGTAACAGGATTAGACAATTTTGGTTCCTCCTCACAAATCCTTAAAGGTTTTATACCTTTCTCTCCTTCCAGACCTTTTGCAATAATGGAGTCAGCATGTCTGCTGTTGTCTTTGTGTCTGCTTTCAGTGCTTCAGGGGTATTCCATCTGGTCTAGCTGCTTTTCCAGCTTTCAGAAGCTTGATTGCATTCAAGACTTCAGTTCTTGTTGGAGGATTGGTGTCAACTTGCAGTTGTGTGCGCGCTGTTGTTGGTATTTCTGGACGGGTTGCAGGTGATGGTCGGTTTTAGAGTCTTTTGAAGTGATCCGCCCATTGTTTAATCTGTTTTTATTCCTTGGTAATGGGCTTCCCTTGGCTGTCTTTTATGAGTTTCGCTTGTGTCGCTCTCTTCCCGGATAGAGATTTGGTTATCTGACATAGTGTCCTCAGGTCCCTTTTGCCTGCTGCCTTCTCAGCTTCAGTAGTTAGATTGTCGTAGAATCGTCTTTTGTCCTTCCTAGCACTTTTCTTCACTTCTTTGTCCAATGCTTTGTAAGTTGAGCTCATCGTCTCCTTCTCCTGTCCGTCCTTGCATTGAATCATTTTCTCTTTCACCATTCTCCTCTCTTCTATTAATTTCCAAGTGTCCGTTGAGAGCCATTCCTTGTCTTGTCTCTTTTTTCTTCCTAGAACCGTTGAACACGTTTCGTTGAGAATCGCCTTCAGAGACTTCCAATGTTCTTCCACGCATGATTCTTCAGTGCTGTCGCGTAGTGTTTCCTGCTTTGCTCTGACATTTGCAGTGAAGGTGTCTTTTGTGGTTGTGCGCTTCAGTAATCGAGTGTTGAACTTGCATTGTGGCCTATCCCCAGCTGTCCTCGAGGCTTTTAGTTTCACCTTGAAAGTCCCTTGTACTAGATAGTGGTCTGAACCCACATCTGCTCCTCTCCTTGACCTTGTGTCCAGTAGGCTCCGTCTCCACTTTCTTGAAATTGAGATGAAGTCTATTTGATTCTTGGTGTTTCCATCTGGTGAAATCCATTTCACCTTGTGTATATCCTTGTGTTTTAAAACGCTGCCACCAATCACCAAATCATTGAAGGCACAGAAGTCTGAGAAGAGCTCACTGTTGCCGTTCATTTCACCGAGGGCTTCTCGACCCATGGTGAGTTTTCTTCCTGTGTTATCTCCTCCCAGCTTCGCATTCATGTCGCCCATCAAGATTTTGATATCGCCATTTGGGACGTTGTCCATTATTGCTTGTAGTTGTCTGTAGAACGCCTCCTTCTTCTCTTCATCTGAGACGTTTGTAGGCGCATAACATTGAATGACTGTAACTTTCCTTCCTTTTGAGTTGAACCTGGCTGTCATTATCCTGGAGGAGATTGGTTCCCACTGCATGAGAGCTTTGGCTGCTGTTGGTTACATCATGATGGCCACTCCCTCGGTGTGCTCATGGTTGTCCTCTAGGTGGCCGGAATATATTACTGTCTCTCCAGTAGGTAGTTGGCACCTTCCAGTTCCGTTCCATCTGATTTCGCAGATCCCCAACACTTCTATTCTATACCTTCTCATTTCAGCGGCTATCTGGGCAGCCTTTCCAGTTTCATACATTGTACGAACATTCCAGGTACTCATCCTTACTTTTGCTTTCGTCGAAAGAAGACACATCGACTGACTTGCTTCCCGAAGGCTTTCACCAGCCAGCGTCACTTCGCTTCCCCGATTCCAGCAAAAAATAAGGCTATTGTTTATGTTTTTAGGATTTTTAATATATTTATTCGCTGAAGTTTCTGTAGCAATTTGGTTAAGTTTTGGGGGTGGAGTTGCTAGCACCACGCCATAACCCTCCCTCTTTACCCGGGCTTGGGACCGGCTAGAAAACTAGAAAGCTAGCAAGCTAGTAATCTGGCGAGGTTCCTCTCAACAGAATAGTCAGTGCTAATTCTCAAGTTAGAGCTTTTTGGGTTGACGTTAATAAATCTGTTCTGTTTTAGATATATTTAAATGATTCCTTAGTCAAAAAGTTGATAGAATACTGGATTTGAGACGTTAATTAGAATTTAGAGGGTACTAATGGTACTAATTAATGGTCTTCAACTCACCACAACCAGTGGGATATCGTTCACTTCTTTACCATCTTCTCATTGTCCTATAGGTTTCTCAGGTACGGAGTTAATTGTTACCTAAATCTTCACCCTAGAGACCCATTGTTGATGATAGTATCGCCTCTAAATTCAAAACCAAAGAAAATCACGTATGTCTAGGAGTTTACTTGCCATACCCAACAATGAACTATTAGAATGCCTTACTGAGACGTAGCTTTGCTAGTATAATTGAAGTGAAACCGAATGAATGCCGCCAAACATATCTTAAGGATTGCCACAAGTTCCAATCAGATATCTGAAATTTTGTGTATGGAAACATTGGAATCTGCGGCGGTCTTTTCCCTTTTTCCGTTACTCTTGTCAGAAGTAAAGTAAGCACGAATAATTATGCGTCTTTTTGCCAGTTGCAAGGAATTAAAGCTTCCTCTTATAGTCCATGTAAATTTATTTTCGGTCAACAGATTTGAATGCTCTAAGGTTGGATAACTATTGTACACCAGACAGGAAGTATACTTCCAAATATATTTACAGTTTTATCGTGTTTTATGGGGTATTTCATATTTTTGAGATAAAGTAGACCGTTGAGTATGGTTTCATTTGGAACTTCTCAATGTTTGAGCTCTCTGGTTGTTCCATTATGCGTTGTTGGTTTAAGGTGGTATTTTATTTACGGTTAATTAATAATAATAAGTGGAAAACACGTTTGAATTTATATCACCCCAGCTAGCATTTTCTTCGGGCTCATTGCAGAACTCAAGGCAGTGGTCTGTATTCCCCCTCAAACATTCTTCAGTACACCTGAAGTCAACACTAGCTGGGAACGCCACATAATAACAATACCAAGTTTGGTATCTGGAAGAAAATTGATTTTGATCCAGATTTATTGATTGAAGATGGAATAATTGAAGCTTGTGTTAATCTTTTTCCTAGCAAGTTTCTGTCCTTGTGTAACCTCTTGTTGAATGAATATATTGAGGGTCCTGGAACCACTTTTGCTGCGAATGGATTCCAGGATTTTATCTCATTGTGAGGACTGGCACTTCATAGACAGATAGCTCCTCCTTGGCTTTTGAAACCCCTTGCTATGTTCTCCATGGGCGTGTGTGATGTGGAGAGAAGGGAAAGAGAAAATAGACCAGGTCTGTATAAAATCTTAAACATGGTAATGCGATCTCTCCAATCGGACAAAAGTGGTAAAAGATAGGCAAATAATGTGCCAACAGTAAATAAAAAAATAGGTGAATTTCGATTATAAGACATAATCCTTCCCATTTTTAGTATTATTTAACTAGTACTCTAGCAAAATTTAACCGATATTTTCCCATTATTTAACTGAATTTTTCTCATTTTAACCATTATTTATGAATATTTCCTACTTTGGCCACTGCTAAACCATTTGCAACACATCTCTCTCCAAATGCGTCTAGCCTACAGTATGACAAGGAAAAGAGATTCAAACTGTTCAATCTTTCAGCGTATGATAAATTGATCATTCTTAAAGTCATAAGTGCTACCTTTCTGTGGATCCTTTCTAGAATGTATAAGTTCCGCTTAAGACAATAACTGACTGTCTGTATACAGTTTTGCTATCTTGACCTCATTAGAGATGTATATAAAGAAGTGAACGTAATTCTGGTGATTCTGTCTGTCTGTCTGTCTGTTTTCGACATAGAACTTTGCACAAATGTGCGGAAGTTCAAGTCGCCACATTCCGTGTAGCACGCGAAGCAAGAGCAGAAAGTACAAGAAAAGCATAATAGAAACAGTGAGCAGAGGTGTGAGACAAAGGAGTAATAAAGAAATACAAAACAGTTTCCTTGAAGATCATAAGTCACAGGGAGTGGATGCATCTGCGCCACTGAGAACGATTTTGAGCCATGTCACCAATTGTTTCCAACCATAGATTCTAGTAAACACCCTGATGTATACATCCCAGTTGTGTACATCTTCCTGGCTCTCAAAAGTCTGGTATTTATTCGTGTAAAACAAACGTCACAAGTGACGTTTGTATTTGTCAAAACGACGCACTTTTATAACTTGGCGAATCAGTAACTAACGTTAAATCTAGCTTTGTTTGGTATTAATTTCATCATTGCGTTTAACCGGTTTCCTGATATCAGAGATAACGATTTAGTATGCATTGAGGCATGACTAAAGTTCGGATATCTGCTCTAAAATATGTGAGAGTATGTTATTCCCTCAATTTACTATCTGCCAATTTCAATATTATTTATTTAGTACAGTTTAGAATAGCAATAAGGATGACAAATAGCATGGAAATTAGGACTGTTCAAGACAGACGGAGTATTTATTAAAATTAATTGCATTACACATTATTAAAATAATCTTGCATTCATTGTACTATCAATATTCTGTTTCAGAGATGTTTTGCTCACTTTCTGTTCTGCATATTTGATTCCCTTCATCACCACACACTTATGTTCGTCATTTATTCTGAAACTGTTTTGCTGCTGAAGTATGAACTTTACTTTTCTAGGAGACGGCGCAGTATACTACTTGCATATATCGTGATTTGTAGCACACACCATAATAGTGCTTCGTCACTGTTTAGAAATTTGTCCATTGTCTCGAAACGTGATCTGTAGAGCAAACCTTTTACTGTTAGTTATTCCCCGTTAATTATCTAATAATCTCCATTGTCAGCTTAGATGGGAAACTTATTTATTATCTTCGTTCATTTGGGTCCCGAGTGGAACACACGGCTTCAACAACACACTTCTATTTCATCCTTTACTGTGAAGTCATTTTTACTTGTCTCAGAGACTATTCACAGGCTCTCATCACCTCCTGACATGATCTCCTCCATTTCACCCTTGGAGTAAAGCTCAACTCATCATTTCCTCATTCGGGTTCCATTCTACAGATGGCCTGACGCGTGATGTCATCCAATGATCTCTTCTGCGTGTGTTCGATCCATCTCTATTTTCTTCGGCATATTTGTTGAATGATTGGTTCTTAGTTCGTTGCACTGCAGACTTCCATGTTACCTATATCTTTTATAGTCATTTGTGTCTGTAAGTATGGTATGTACTTTGCGTTGTGTAAGTGCAAAGTACTCTTACAAGATTGGCAGGAGCCTGTACCTGCACTCATTCTTGCGAGTGAAGTTGTTGATAAGTTTGTGTATCTGGGTAGTTGTGTGAGTGCTGGCAGAGGGGTGACGGATGAGATTTCCAACCGTATAATGAAGGCTAGGGTGGCATACATCAAATTGAGCCACCTCTGGCGCAGTTGCGACGTTAGCCTGGCTGTCAAAGGTCGGGTATACAATACTTCGGTGCGGGCTGTCTTGCTCTACGCCTGTGAAACCTGGCCTCTCCGAGCTGAGGATGTGCAGCGACTCTGTGTGTTCGATCATCGCTGTCTCCGCTTGCGTTCGATGGCATCATCGCGTGAGTAATTCTGAGGTTCGGTGGCGTGTGTTTGAACACAGTGGAGATCACCATTTGTTGAGTGTCGTCATCTGGAAACACCGGCTCCGGTGGCTTGGACATGTGCTGCGAATGTCATCCCAGAGGCTTCCGTACCTATCTCTGTTTGCTATCCCTGGGACGAGATGGAAAAGGCGGAGGGGTGGTCAGTCCATGACGTAGCGTCGTGGGATGAAGGATGTTTGTGCTAGATTAGCATCGGCTGGTGCGTCACGACTCCCTGGTTGGGGTCCGCGAGATAGCTCAAATCGATGGCTCGAAACGTTATCGGATATGGCCAAGAATCGTAATCGATGGCGAACGTGTTGCAATTTCCTTCGTTCTTCCCTTCCCGATAATAGTTGACGAATACTGTTTGAACTTGTTAAGCATGACTGTTTTCCTTCCAGATGAAGTTCTTTATCCGTTCTCTACTTATATATATATACATATATATTAACTCAATCTATGTTGTTTTATTATTATTGTGTGGTGCATCTTTCTTGGTGCCATATTGTATCAAGTTTTTTTCTGCGTTTAGATAAAAAATAATAGATAAATTATATTCATCTGAAGTTGAGTAGTATGGGGAGTCCGCGAAGACACAGCGGTTGATAAAAGTCCGAAATGGCCTGTTCGAAATGCTTTCGGTGACACGTCAACTATCGGAACCATTTGGAATTACTGACTGAGTTGACGGGAAATCTAAATTCTGTTTAGCCTCATCGGTGCCACTTGTAGTTAAAAAGGGTGCTGCCTAGATAAAAAAGAAGTGACCTCTTTCAAATTTCTTGCGTCGATAACGATTGGTGCACCTATTAATAATAATCTGCTTTATTTCAAAAGCACTACTTATAACTCAGAATGGAATTCTCAGCATTTGGTAGTATGTAATCCCATATTAATTTATCTACTGGATATATATGACACAGTGAGTGTGAAACAGTATTATTATTTACTGGGTGACAATGTTTCAAGCACAATCTATTATTATCCACAATCATACCATCGATTATATAACAATACAACTTCGAAACTTGAGTATTATAATTCTCCCTATTTCCTTCGTGTTCGTGGTAGGATTAGTAGAATTTTCTACATCTCTGATGTAGGTATTGGATCATTCTTATTGCGCGCATTTCCAGTTCATTCGATAAATTAGGCTTTCTTTATCGATCTCCCCCACTATCTTGTCATGTTAGATTTTGAGACCGTTATTTTGTCCTATCCTATTGTATGTTTGCGTGCATTTGCGTGTAATGTAGTGCTATAGCTGAACTATTCTCCAGATTCCTTATCCTATTAAGGTCAACTAATTTTGTGCTCCGCTAGTCTGATTGACCCAAACCTAATAGTGTGGCCTACATATGTAGGGTACTAGATAAAGTAAATTATTCTGTTTAATGGGCTCCTTTAACCGTCATAATTTGTTTCTAAATAGGTTTGTGGGGGATTTGAATATCACTTTTGTTTTCCCCGCATTGTTAAGGATCCTTCGTCACGCTTCAGAAGCTCTTTCCTCATATGGAAGCACTACTGGTATTTTGAATTCCTTATTATTGATGCTGCACTGTCATTGAGAACGATTTTAAGTAATATCACCAATAGTTTCCAACCTTCATTGGTTTTTACCGTCCCGAGGATCCCAACCAGTCAGGAAATCCACCTCTTCCTACGTGGCTTAAACTAACTGTTGTGGATTTCATTGACTGGTGAAGCCATGTTTTGGCTTGACCGCCGCTAGCTCTTTTCCAGCCTGATCCTATGTCAGCTAACATTGCTCATTGTCGAGGAAGGCGATGAATAGGCATACTTAACCACATGTCCTGACCATCTCAGTCGATGTAATTTCACAGCCTCGTCGATTGATTTCCCCTCCTTACCTAGCACTCGACAGAAGCGTAACCTCAATATTGCTCACCTTATTATACCACTTCACATGGGAGATAAATTATAATCCATGTTGGTAACTGTCTTGATTTACGCCTTAACTGTTCGATTTCATTTCTGTTATGGCTTAACTTTTTAACAATTCTATGCATTGATCTCTTCTTTTGAGCATTGATGGCAATGGTTACCAACAAAGATTATGTTTTTATAATACAGTCCCCTCTAACGATGGCAAATGAGAAGTACTCAAAAAAAATAATAAATGCTCAATTCAAAATATTCAACAAATTAATTATGGTATTTTTGTACAAACAAGTTAGTATGAAATTGACTGACTGACTGACCTGTTTCAACGTAGAACTTTGCACAGAGGTGCAGCGGTTCGAGTTACCGCATTCCCTTCATGTACCACACAAAAAATTTTTAAAAACTCAAGAGAAGACAGTAAAGAGAGATTCAAAAGACAGATAATAAACAGAAATATAAAGCAAAAGGAATAGTAATATCAGAGAATTTTATTGGATATAATAAATCACAAAGAGTGAGAGCGATAAGTTTGAGCTATATCACAAATTGTCTCCATTCTTCATTGCTTCTTACCATCCGGAGGACATCAACCAGAAAGCCAGCCAGTCCACACCTCTCTATGTGGCTGGCCGGCTGGCTTAAATTAGCAGTTGTGGATTTCATTGACTGATGAAGCCAATTTTTGGTTTGGCCACCATGTGGTAGCCCTTTTCCAACCTGATCCATCCTTTGTCAGCTGACATCCCTCGTTGTCAAAGAAGGCGATAGCTAGGCAGGCATGGATGCCATACAAATGTCCTGACCATGCCAATCGATTCAACTACTTCACAACCACCCTCCCTCCTTACCTAGCCTACCACTCGATCGATGCCTAACTTCATCCTATCACACCTACCACCTAACACGGGAGACAGAACACAGACATCTGTGGTCAAAGACAGAAAGCTAGCTGGCCTTTTAGTATCTCCCACTTTCATTGGCCAAGTCTCACTCACAGCCAGCTTTAAAGGAGGACGGAACAGACTGCTGAGCAGTACACACGCCCTCTGGTCGGTAGCCAGATATGACGTCTACGGTAGAGACGGTATAAACTGGCATATGCTAAACAAGCCTTCTGTATCTGTGCTGAGATTTCGTCAGTGATCAAGCCTCTGGTGTTGGGTGATGCAACTTCCCAAATAAGTGGAGTGATCAACACACTATCACTTTACTCCCTGTCTGTTTTGTAAGCTAGGAGTCAATGTAGTCCACTCCAGCCCTGTAGCATTATCTTATATTTGGAAAAGGGAGCGAATCGCATGCCAAACATTCAAAGATTGCTGCTCCTTGAGGTGTTCAAAAGACTCTGCTTCATTTTGTCAGTGTCTCCACCTAGCAGGGAAGACTATATCATCTGCATATTCTAGGTGAACGAGATTATTCCATGGTGGTAGGAAGTCAATCCCTGAGTCGGTGAAGTCAGGGTTAAGTCCATTAATACTTCTACAATGAAATTAAACAGAAGTTATGGGGACAGTGGGTATCTCTGATGAACACCACTGGTTGTAACCACTTCAGATGACAACTCCCCTGTAGGCTGTCACAAGGCTGGCTGCATGAGTTCTATTAGCGTGAGCGCCTTGATCAGCAGATCAATTAGATTACAGTTCAAGTGCATCTGTAAGTGATATTACGCATGAATATTATACCAAAGTGAATGTCAGATAAGTTAAAGGAAGCAATAGAGGAACGCCAGTAAGTATGCTTATGTTCCAAGATCTGTCGAAGGGTGAAGATATGATCAATGCACCCTCTTCCTTGTCTAAAGCCTGTCTGGTTCTCTCATGTTTGTTACTCCCAAGCACCGCTTTGTCTACGCATGATTATTGAACCTAGAACTTTAGATACCATATTGGTCAAGCTAATCCCTCTGTGGTTATCACAGGAAGACTTGTCTCTCTTTTTGTATATCGTGATAATCAATGACTTACACCAACATGGCGGGACTACCTCTGATTTCCAGACGCCGCCTAATACCTTAGTTAACGCAGACAGTAAACTGTCTCCACCGTCCGTAAGTAGGTCTGGAGTCATTCCATCGGGTTCTGTTTCTTTGCATCGTTTCGGACTAGTGACAGCTATTGTAACCTCAGTTAGAGATGGAGAACCGATGGTTATATCCCATTCAGGGAGGTGTTGAATGCTGGGTAAGTTGAGCGTAGCTGTAGGGTAGTCATAAATTGCTCCTCAAAGTGTTCCTTTCAACGTTCCAGTTGTCTCCCACGGGAGATATTTATGGTGACACTTTTCTGAGAGATTGTTTCACTTATCCTTTTCCATAATATCATAATATGTCATCGGACATCAGTCAGTGGTCTAAACTAAATGGCCTCATGCTGAATCCCTCAAAATGCCAGATTATTGACTTCTCTTTTAGGCATAAACGAGATCTACAAACACTAGTAAGCACTCATGATGTCTGTAGAATTGAGGGGACTATAATTGAAACTAAGTCTAATGCAAAATACCTCGGATTAGTTATATCTTCCGACCTTACCTGGTCATCTCATATCCAAATGATTTCCAAGAAAGTGTTTCGTCTAACCTACTACATTAAGAAACTCAGACTAACTGGAGTCCCTCAACCTCTGCTTTCACAATTTGTCAACTCTCGTATCCTACCTATTCTACTTTACTGTTCCCCGTTAGTCTTTCCTGGGTTACTGAAAAAGGATTATACCATCCTGAGAAGGATGTTGAAGGTAGTTAGTAGGACTAGCGGTGTAAAACTCAGTCAGCTCGTCACAACATTAGTGGATAAGCATCTGAATACATGTGAGAAATGGTCTAAAACCATACTCTCTGACCCCCAACACCCCCTCTCTTCCCAACTCTCTCCTTGCATCTCATCACGTAGAACCAGAAATCAGTACAAAATAATATATGCTCGTACAACCAAGTATAGGAACTCAACGATACCATATTTGGCCCGTGTTCTAAGTGACAGAGACAATGTTAAGCGCGAAACCTATGACTTTCTTTGTTGTTAATAACGTAATTTTGGCTTTGTTATTTCCCTCTTATACTCTCTTATTTGTGCTCTATAGTGAACAACCTTAAATATACTTAGCTACCTAAAATTATTATCACTGGCTTACTTTTTTATTCTTTATTCTATTCGTTCTTTTGTGCATCTACTGGTCCCGACTATATTATCACTATGAGTATTACAAAATTGTCCTGTCATTAACCATCATGTAATATTAGCGTTGTGATTGCTTTCTGTTCGGCAATATTAAACTGACAATCATGGTTGTGAACGCCGTTATCACCATCCTAAAATTTTTGTATTATGCAGGATTACTCACACTACCACAACAAACACCTCATTAGAGCTGACAATAAAAAATACCCTGAAATTTTTATTTTATGATTGTTTAGTGTTGTTCAATCAAATTAACTGATCATCTTGGCGATAAACATTCTTAACATCATTTCATAACTTCTTGTATGATTATAGCTGTTACTGTTCACCATGCATACACATATCATAGCTTCCACTACCCAATACTGAAATATTTTTTTCATTATTGGTGTTTATCTTCCTTTCAACTTGGTATTTTTATTTGCATTTTTTTGTTATTTTTGTGTTTCTTTTTGGTTTTTGCTGTTGTTTTTTATATTTACTTTTTTGTAATACTCCTTTTAAATGTGCGATGAAATTAGATGCAATAATGTAGATAACCGCTGAAAATTCCACACTGTACCACTAGTACTGTTTCTGGAATAAACGCCGATTAATATTATTATATGGAATTAAACACTACTATTGTTTGTTTTTTCTTTGTATAATGTATTCTCGCCATTATTTTTGCTCTGTTTCTCCCCCCGCTTTTCAGGTGATGGCCTATAAATCTCGACATCATATAGAAGTTAGCTCAGTTGCACTTGTCGACTTGAAAGCAGAAATCTCCCGAAGACAAATTGAAGTGAAACAAAAAGTTGAAAAACATCCAGACGGTTGTAATGTCATTATTAATCGTTCTGCCCAACTGAAACCTGGCGGTTCCCTTTGGAAGTCATCTAAAGAAGATCTAGTAAAAGAACGTAAAAAATTAAAGTTAGAAAATATTCCAACAAATTCTGAAGATTATGCTGAATGGGAGAAGAGTAGAAAGGCATTAGAAGCGAAAGCCAAGCTGTATGATGCATTAAGAGAAGCTGCAATGTCTGGAAAAAAGCATAAACTATCGAAAAATACTGCGGCTGATGATAATGAAGATATTTTAGTTGATTTTGAACAAAAAGCGGTAGAAAGCGTTGATCATCGTGACCCTGTGCATCCACTACCCTCTCCTACACGATCTTACTCTTCATACGACAGTGATGATGATGATTATGGCGATGGCGATGAAGATCATGTCCAATGTAGTGATGAAGAATGGACAGATTATACTGATGAACGTGGGATTAAACGAGTGTGTATGCGAAAAGACTTACCAAGTTATACAAAACAACACTCTGGTAATAGTCCATCTAGGCAGCCAGATGGTCCATTGACTTATGCTCATTTAAGAGAAGGTGAAATCCGTGATCATGGTGTTGGCTTTTATGCTTTCTCTGCGGATGCTGAAAAACGTGAAGCTGAAATGAATCGTCTCCGCGAACTTCATCGTGCCACAGAGGAGGGTAGAGCTAGAGCTGAAGCTATCCGAGCGAAACGTGATGCTAAAATGGGTCAACGTCTTGCTCGTCTACGTGCTCGTAAAGGCCTGCCTGATGTGGCGACAGCTGCTGCTCAGTGTTTAGGTGAAGCTGTGATTCCAGCCGCGACACCTACTCCACTAGGTCCAGACGCTCAATCCGATATCCGGTTGAGTAATGATGATTTAGATGTAGCTTCTATGCTACGTCGGTTGCGTGATGAAGCTGAACAAAGAGCTATAATGCATAATAGTAGACTGAATGAATCGTTAGGTAGTAATGTTCCTCCGCCTGTAGAAGTTAAGGAACCTCAGTGTAGAACTAATCTAGCCGATGTATTAGCTTCACAAGATCCAAGTCGTACACATACACCTGGCAGTAAACAAAGAGAATGGGATCGGGGAAAATCAATGATTTCAGCTCAACGTTATATACAAGAAGAACGCGAGAAACGCGTTTCAGATTTCGCTCCACCATCTCATTATTAACATTGAAATTGTGATTATGATTATTGTGTACATATAGTTTAATTTGTTTTCACTGAAATAAATTGTCTTCTTATGTATATTCCGGTTTTTTTAATTTTCAATGTGTGGATATGTTTGCATGAATGAATTTTGTATTTTTGAAATTTATTGTTTGTTGGTAGAAGATGCTTCATATTAGATAAGTTTAATTTGTGGATGGTAGCTAACAGTGGAATCCAGGATGCCCATTTCGTCCTATTTAGGACTCGTCAGCTATCTGGGTGTACCTGCATTTCTCAGTGAGTGATGACGTTCCCACTGGGGCTCGAACCCAGTGCCTATAGTTTCAAACGCCAAAGCCTTATCCACTAGACCACTTGGACCACGAGAGCCACTGTCTCTTGTGCAATGGATCATATTAATTTAATTTAATTTTTAGATTTTCCGTCGATTGATTGGACCGAAGTGTTCGGTTTCAGGTTGACATGTCGGCTTCTTGTGCAGATGCTTCAATGATGTCTGGGCATTTAAGTAGAATTTAGTTACATGATTTTATCATCAGCTGACATTGGTTAGACAACCACTGGAAAACCTGGGAGTACTGGATAATTGTTTCGTCCTGGTTTGAGACTCTTCGGCAGTGCGCACCCACCGGGGTTCGAACCCAGGACCTTCTGGTTACGAGGCGAGCTAGTAGACCATTAAGCCCGTGGAAAGTCGTGACCAGTAGAGTGCAGCAGGTCGGGTGTGAAGACAAAAACTCGCCCCCGAAGACATTGGCTAGCGGTTGCGCTATGTTGTGAATTGGCAGAAGTAGAATTTATGGGCCATTGGATCGGGTTCCAGTGGCTCAATGATCTACGAACTCACTGGCCTTGTAAACAGAAGGTCCTGGGTTCGAATCCCGGTGGGTGCGTACTGCTAAAGAGTCTCAAACTAGGACGAAACGGCTGTCCAGTGCTCCTAGGTTTTCCAATGGTTCTCTAACCAACGTCAGCTCATGATGAAATCATGTAACCAATCAACCAAATCCCTACAAACCAATAGTTGAGTAAGTAGAATTTAATTTGTGGCGTTTGAAACTATGGGCACTGGGTTCGAGTCTCGGTGGGGACATCATCACTCACTGGGGGGTGCAGGAACATTCAGATGACGAACCCCAAATAGGACGAAATGCGCATCCTGGATTCCACTGCTAGCTACCATCCAAATTAAATTCCAATCAAATGCCCAGACATCGTCGAAGCATTTGCACAAGAAGGCGACATGTCAACCTGAGACCGAGCACTTCGGTCCAATCAATCGACGGGAAAATCTTAAATTCAATTAAATTAGATAAGTTTATTTATTAAATATCACATAGTGATGATGCAGTATCAACAGTTGGATGACAAGTTGGTTATTGGCTAAGTTATTGGTCATAATCATATCGATGTAGTAGTCATACAACTTCTCAGATTGTCTCTCTTCCTCTTCCACCATTTTGTTGTTTGTCGCCACTTTCCAGATCTTCGGTATAGACTGCACGTGTTCGGCGTTGAATCGATAGGCGAAGATTCAGTAATTAACCTGTCTCTCTCTCTCACACTCCACTGTAACCTTCTCTCACCCTCCTTTTTATGTGATTACATGCAAGTGAATGCAATGCAACGCAATCAGTGAGCTCTATTTTCTAGGTTATTTAACTTATCAGGGTCGATCATTCCATGTTAAGCTGAATTTTTATGTTTCAATAATCTAATTAACGCTTAAGAGTTTGGTTTGTAAGGATTAGATTTATTTTTATATGAGTTTGACCGCGGATTGATATCAGTTAGAGAAGCATTGAAAATCTGCACTGGAGTACTGGATAGCTGTTTCATTCTGCTGGTTTGGGAATCATCAGCAGTACGCATCCGCTGGTGTGTGTGTGTGTGGGGGGGTTACAGGACAGAGTTTCCTGGAGTTCTATTGAGAAGTCATGACTAATGAGGTCCAACCAGTCAAGTGTGAGGATGGAGTTCCCACCGATGACACTGATTGGTGGTCGCGTTAAATCACGAATTGGTAGAGGTTAGAATTCATGCACTGGCCATTGGATCGGGTGCTGCCAGTGGCTAAATGGTACACGAGCCAGCTTGCCTTGTAATCGGAATGTCCTGGGTTTGAACCCCCTCTAGTGGGTGCGTACTGCCGGGGGTTCCCAAACTAGCAGGATGAAACAGCTGTCCAGTACTCCCTGTGGCTGGTTTTCAATGGTTCTCTAACTGATATCAATCCGTGGTCAAACTCGTATAAACAAATCTACTTGACCCCGATCAATTAGTGTGACCATTATAATTGACGTCACTCACAGTCATTACACCGTGGTATTTGGTTAATTATTATTCTCTTTCGTAACTGGATCTTTCGGGTTCTTAAGCCTGTAGTGTTTATCTCTGAGTGAGTGAGTTGGTTGGTTAGTTGGTTTATTATATACCACTGTAACTAATTCTAGCTTCATTGCGAATCCCACGTAAGACCTCTAACGACGTTCCTTTCTGCTTTATTCAGCAGTACTATAGAGGCTTTGAATTCTAAATTATTTTCCTCGTTATTTCTGTCATTTTCACTACTAATCTTTTTTTTCTATGCTGCTTCATGTATTTCTAAGTAAATAAATAAAAAAGATATTTCTTTATATTTCAAGTGTTGGTTTTTGTAAGGATTGAAGGATTTCATTATGAGCTGACATCGGTTAGAGGACCATTGGAAAACCAGCTGGAAGTACTTCACAGATATTTCGTCCTAGTTTGGGACTCCTTGACACTACTCACCCGTCACGTGCGTACCGATGAAAAGTCCCGTAATAGGACAAAATATCTGTGCAGTACCCCCTCCCAGTTGGTTTTCCAATGGTCCTCTAACCGATATCAGTTGATGATGAAATCCTGAAACCAATCGAATTTCTGCGAATCAACGCACAAATTTTGATGAATTTTCACCATACTACTCAATAGTAGACAAAACTCTAAACTAAAAATTGTTTATCATCGTAATCACTATCCTTTAGAGTGATGCTTTTAACGATAGCTCAGAATGTTTCACACTGAATCACACGATTATCATATTGGCTTATTACTGTTATACAGCTTTTATGCTATGCTTAGGTTTGAAAAGCCCGTATAAACAACGTAGTACAATGGACGGTGAGTAGATACATTTGTCTTCCTCTCTGGCAATGTTTTCATGTAGATACACACGTTTGCAGTCCGTGTCAGGGGAACTCTTATTCACTGTCTTCATGCGACGGAAGGGGTGTTCTTCACAAAAGTGAAAGGATGGATGTAGACGTCTGGCGCTTACAACGGAACTGACAGATATGCAGGCCTACCTGAGAAAAGTGGAGTTAGAAAACGCTGATTACAAACGTATCTGGTGGTGTACATGGACTGCACAATGCGAATGGTTCCAATGACAGCGTAGAACCTATTTCGGTCAGCCGAAACCATTGGAATACAGCTCCTAACTCCGGTCGACTAGCCTGTGGATCAGGCTTCTAGACCAAGGATCGGGGCGAAGAGTGGCTCCCATAAGACAAGACAACCACCCGTTTCGGTCTCGGCGTCGCTGTAGTAAGTTGTATCCCAGTTTGGAACTTTTTCAACAACACACCCACAGCAGTTCGAACCCGGGATCTTCTGGTTGCATAATGAGCTAGTAAACCACTCAGCTACTGAAATGAGAGCCAACGGTCCATGATATCCAACTTGTACCAAATCCAACCTCTAATCAAACTAAAAAATCCCTACGAAACCAATACTTGAAAATTATTCTGATGCTCGCTAGCGACTGCCCTATTCAGGCAGTGACCTGATGTTCTAGTGAGAAGACGTGACCAGTAGGGTACAGTGGGTTGAAGATGAGACAGTAACTCATCGAAGAGGACATTGCGAAGTGGTCGCGCTATGTCGTGAATTGGCAGAAGTTAGAATTCATGGGCTGGTCATTTGATCGGGTCCCAGTGACGTAATGGTCTACGAGCTTGCTAGCCTTGTAACCAGAAGGTCCTGGGTTCAAACCCCGGTGGTTCTGTACTGATGAAGAGTCCAAAACTAGGACGGAGGAAACAGCTGTCCAGTACTCTCACGTCTTCCAGATGTTCTCTAACTGATTTCGGTTCATGATAAAATCCTCCATCTAATCAAACTAAAATGTCATCGACGAGCATCCCACTTCACGTTTTGAATGAATGAATAAATAACGTTGTCATTTCTTTGTAATTTTTAATTTCCTTTTAAATTCAATTTCATTTCAATAGGAATCAGTATTATCGGATCATCAGATAGTTCAATCGATCGATCATCATCAGCCTAACGATGAATTGAACCAATCAGAAACATCGAGTAATAATAATAATGATAATAATCGCTCCTCATTGGGAATGCTTAATCCAATCGGTCAATGTGATGAAAACTTTCGTCAAAGACAGTCGGATGTTTTCGCTGCTTTGGCGAACCTTGAAGCAGCTCATCTAGAAGTGTATAAAGCGACAAAAGAAGAGCGTAGAGCTGTACGTAAATCTGCCTGGAAGCATACAACTGCAGCACCAGAGAATTTAGAAGAAGAGAAACAACGTGTAAGTGTTATCATTATCACCATTATTATTATTATTTTCTTTGATTCCTACAGGAACATACGGCTTCAGCTGCACGTCTCCACTGCGTTCGGTTCTCTGCTAAAGTTTCCACCTGGCTCCAAGTCTGGCCACATGCTTTCATCTCCTCTTCACATGATTTCCAAGTCACTCCACCGTGGGACGACCAACTCGCCGCTTCCCTTTCAGGTTCCACTCGAGCGATGGCTTGTCTAGTGATGTCACTTGGTCGTTTTCCCAGAGTATGGCCAATCTACCTCCATTTCTTCCTGCTTATTTGTTGCACTGTTGGTTCCTGGTTGGTTCGCTCCCAGAGATCCCTGTTGCTGATCTTTTCTGGCTGACCATCTGATCTTGAGCGAAGGCAGCTAACTGTTGATGAAGGTCTGTAGTTTGTTTGAGGTGCCCTTTAATGACGCGGCGCCAAGTTTCTGATCCGTATAGTGAGTAGCACTGACTGACTTCACATTGGAGTTGAAAATCCGGATCTTATTTTTCATGCTGAGCTCTGAGTATTGACCTCCACACAGACTTGAGAGTAATGAAAGCTTGTCTTGCTTTTCCGATCCTCGCTGCCTTGATATCCTCGTCAGTTCCGTTGGCCTGTAGTTGAAACGATGCTTCCCAGGTAGGTGGGTAGGTAGGTAAAGGAGGTTGTTTCTTTCAGATTTCTTCCATTTATGCTGACTAATTGTCTTGTGTTTTTGTTGCTGTGGCTGTTGGTGTTGCCCAGGAATCTCATCGTGGATTCCACTTCTATTCTATCAATACTATAAGGACTGGTCTTCTTTGAAACTTTCAAATTCTGTTAATTTTGTGAGAAAATAATTGATCACGAACTGAGTGATTTCGGTTAGAGAACCAGGGAGTATTAAACGCAGCCATTTCGTCCTAGTTCGGTACTCTTCAGAAGTAGGTATTTATGATCATACAAAGGATGGAAACCTGCAGTCCATTCAGGTTTTGAGACTAGCTGCTCAACCATTCAGCCACTGGGAGAGTATTCAACGTTTCATGAATTATAAGTTCTGTCAACTGGCGATATATACATATATCACGACCGGCAGTCAATTTTGATTGTATTTATTTATTTATTTTTTTTACGTTCCGAGTCGAACATAGGGCTTCAAGCTAGAACTCTTTAAAAGTTTCAGTAGCAATGGTTTCATTTTTACGAGGTGGGGTTGCTAGCTGGACGCGCAGCCTTCCCTCTTTACCGGCCTTATAACCGAATTAGCGAGGTTTATTGAGTACGCCCGTCGACCGGAGATCGGACCTCGAACCACATGCATGGTTGGCAGTTATTCCGCCACCGCTGCATCGAAAATTCAGCTCTTCAACTGGTAATCGAACCCAAGCCTTCCATGTGACAGGTAGAGATACTCACCTCCGTGGCGCAATAGATTGTCGCGTTCGACTGTTAACCAAAAGATTGGATGTTTCAAGCCCAGACGAGGGCGCTAGGGATTTTGACGCTAGACATCGTCGAACTCACAATTCGCGTCACATGATGCACAAAATCCATTCGAATCACACGCCTTCATTTACTCTACTCTACGACGCGCGCCTTTCACAACAGAACAGTGTTGATTGGTTGATAATTATTATTAATAATGTTAATTTTTATTATTTTTCTGTTTGATCACCATTTCTAAAACACAAAAATACCGCCTTTTTTCCTGATATTCTATTTAGCGCGAAAATAATCAAATTTCAAATAGTGGTGATGAAGACCGGGGACAATTTCAATCACCACGGAATCCTACATTTCGAAAACCACTTGCACGTCCACCAGTAGTAGTGCATCGTAGTCGACTTAATCCACCTCTTCGTGATCCTAATAAATGGACACATTATAGTCTAGCTGATATTGATGAAGATGCACCGATATCAAGAGAATTACACTATCAAGATGACAGTGTTGGCAACGACAGTAGTAATAGAAGAATTGGGGGTGATCCAAATGGTTCAATAGCTATGGCATTGATTAATGAACTTCGACAACGTCGAAACACTGAGGATGCGTCCTCAGATTGTAACAGTAATCCTCCTGAAGATTTACGTCGTCGTAATAATCGTATATTATTTCGTCCTATTAAAGGTCGAAAGAAAGCACGTCTTGATAATGATGATGAGGTTGAAGAGGAGAGTAACTTAAAGCGTGAAGTCCGCTTGGATAATATTTGTATACCAAAGATGGATGATAAAGAAGATGACGACGGTGACGGCGACGGCGACGAGTCTCAGGAGGGTAAAGGATCAAATGATCTCTTCTCCAGCAGCACCACGACCTCATCATCATTATTAGTATCTAATGTAGCTACTGCTGTAGTCAATGACAAGATGACAACAACGACTACAATGTTTGTAAATCGTCGTTGTCGTCAAAAAGGTCAACTACGTGTTCGTCATACTGATGATATGTTGAATGAATCATCAGTAGGGGATCTACAGACAGATATCACTTCCGTTGATCATGACCATGATGCTGCTAGTGATGGTGATATTGAATTCAGGGACTTAAAGTCAACAGAGCATGATGATCTTATCGATTCTGATGAAATAGAAGAGGATCCTGAAGAGGATAAATCAAACGATTATTTTGCATAAAACTTGTCCTTTTTTGAAAAAAAACTCTCCCTTCGTTTTTTTGAGGAAGAGGGGGGGAGTGGAATGCCAAGTGAGTTTTCAAGGAGAAAATACCTTGTACAGAGTCGTGTTTTTTTTTAATTAGTAATAAATATAACCTGGCGCAATATGTAAACACCAGTGCTGTATCTTGACTTTTACAATGATTTGATTGATGGGTGACAGATTTGATCACAAAAAACGGACATGAGTTTGGGGGGTGGGGTGGGTGGAAACTGTTGAAGATGAAACCACCAGAAAGTACTGGACGGCGGCTACTTCATCATAGATTGAGACTCTGCGTCATCAGTCCGCGCACCCACCTTAGGTCGAATCCAAGACCTTCCGGTTACATAGCGAGCTCATAGGCCATTCGGACACTGGGACCCGATTCAATGGCCTACATGAATTCCCCAACTTTTACTGACTGGTTTCAACATAGACCTTTCCATCGACATGCAGCAGTTCGAGTCGTCACACTTCACTCAGCACACAAAGCCAGAAAAGGAGAAGAAAGTAAAAAAGAAATGCAGAATAGAGACAGTAGACAGGGATATGAGACAAAAGGAATATGGAGGATTTAATCATGAGCTGACATCAGTTAGAGAACCACTGGAAAACCTGGGAGTACTGGACAGCTGTTTCGTCCTAGTTTGGGACTCTTCAGCGTACTGCCTTCATTGGTTCTTACCAGCTTGAGGACCTCAACCAGTCAGGGAGTCTACACCTCTCTACATGTCTAGCTTAAACTAACTGTTGTGGATTTCATTGACTGATGAAGTCATGTTCCAACCTGACCCTATGTCAGCTAATATTAGCCATTGTTGAGGAAGGCGATAACTAGGTGTAAACGTAACACATGTCCTAACCATCTCTCAATCGATGTAACTTCACAGTCTCGTCAATTGATTTCCCCTCTGTTATGTACTCGTCGAGTAGTTAATTGTCCTGACGCTTAAAGGGGGAAAATCAGAAGGCCACCACGTTCACGATGATATGTGTATTTTCCAACAAGGAAAATAATGACTGTCACACAAGTGTGTGAGTGAAAGGGTATGTAGTGTACAAAAGGTGTGAACAAGTGTGTAAAAAAGTGTACAATACAAAAGTATATACGAAAATGACTAATATACATGAACCAATAAGGCAGACATCTTATCATGATTGGATTCTGATTGGTTGTAATGTCATGTAACAAAAAGGTCATACATTGTTTATTTAGTTAATGGACAGACAAAGCATATTGTGAGGTATAATGGAATATCGATCAATATACACATAGCAAAATATAACACCCTCCTTACCTATCACACGACGCCTAACCTCAATATTGATCACTCTATTATACAACTTTACACGGGAGATAGAACGCGGGAACCCATGATCAAAGACAGCTAGATAGGTGGCCTTTTCATATCTGCCACTATCAGTGATCACCAGGTCTCACAACCGGCCATAAAGGAGGACGGAGCGGACTGCTGCTGAGTAGTACACCCGCCCTTTGGTCGATGGCAAGCCGGATATGATGTCTACGCCAGAGACGCTGTCAAATGGCATATGAGATTTCGTTTCAAGTGTTTGGTATCTAGAGCCCCCTAGGCTGTTGGATTCGGTACTCTATAAATGATGGAAATTATTGATTATTCAATAACTCATGGGCTTTATGACCTGTTTTAGTACGAGGTGATATTGAATACAGAATTGTTAAAAATTGTTTTCACCACACCTTTATTCATTCATAATGGAAGTGATGATGTTCCGGAACACCAAACGCAGTGTAGACCAGCAGTGAAGAATCTTTTCCTATCACCTGTCAAGTATTAAATAAATTGTCATAGCCCAGTACATACCGCTTCTGTCGACGCGAAGTAAAATTCTGAGTCGCATCATCCTGGAGAGAATAAAGGATGCACTGGATACAGAATTCCGCCTGCCGGAACAAGCTGGATTCAGGAAAGGCAAATCCTGTTCTGACCAAATTGCCACTCTTCGCATCATCACAGAACAAAGCATGGAATGGCAATCAAACCTCTACCTCAACTTTATAGACTTTGAGAAGGCCTTCGACAGACAGCGTTGACCGCGAAGTAATTTGGAAAATACTCGAGTACTACGGCGTACCCCAAATATTCATCAACCTTATTCAACAGCTGTACGACAACGGCACCTGCCAAGTGATCCACAACGGAAAACTCAGCGAGGCGTTTGGAGTAAACACAGGAGTCAGACAAGGGTGCCTGCCTATTATCACCAATGATATTCCTAATTGTGGTGGACTGGATTATGCGTCAAAAAGTGGGAAACAAGAAGAGAGGGATATCCTGGACCGACGTGAAGAACCTAGAAGACATGGACTTCGCGCGTGGATGATTTATTTTTGATGTCATACAAAATCGAAAACTTAGAAGCGAAAACCTACAAACTGGTCAAAGAAGCAGCCGGCGAACACAGGACTCCAAGTGAGCATAGAAAAGAAGGAGGTTATGAATATAACCAGCCAATCACCATCAACGGGAGGGATTTGGAAGCGGTCACTTCACTTATCTAGGGAGCATTGTCTCAACTACACGAAGTCGGAACGGACGAGGATGTCAAATCGAATCGCGAAAGCGAGAAACACATCAACATCATCAACCTGAAACCAATCTGGAAATCTCCGTCACTCAGCCAGCATCAACAATAAAATTCCGTCGGATTTTCAATACAAGCAACGTCAAGTCAGTCAGTTCCTCTATACGCATCAGAAACTTGGCGAGCGGGAGGGTCACAGAAAATATTTCCAACCAACAGGTTAACTCACACCATCGCTGACTCTATACTGAAGATCGGATGGCACAGGGTTGAATAATCCTAAAATCAGAATATGAATGCACCCATTTAGCGGTCTCTGATTTCCTCAATGATCTAAACACACATGGACGGTTGTTTCATTTGTTCAGAGGTCTGTTCAAGTAATCAGTGTACCAACCTGTTAGTAGTTATATCCAGGTGAGAGTAGAGTCAAACCTCGGTCTAAACTACTTAAATTCTGGCTGATGATGATACACATAAGACCAAGTTCACAATTTGGATACTATTACCCACCACGACCACAGTGTTCTTCGCACAGAAACAGCTGTCCTGCGGTGGTGTTTTTAGCTCAATTCGTTCTGCTGTTAGAATAAACAGTGACTATATATGTATATGACTAACAACCTCCGACACCAATGTAACACACACGGACCACAGCCACAACTGACGAAGGAAGAAGGCGAGAAAGAGGCGTTTATTTGAGCCAAGCCAGGCTTGAATTAGACAGTCCACCACCTACTCTCCACTAACACCACTTGCAGACTGTTTCATATACCGCTTGGGACAGTGTTGAATACAACACTCGTATTACTGTTACCATTAACATTAATGCGATTATTGTCATTATTATTGTTGTTTAAATATTGGTAATCATAGATAATTTGATAGCCACGAGGTAAATCTTCTGGACGCTCATGACATACATACATCACATGAATTCACAGAACGTGCGTGCATAATATCATGCATTTATTGGCATTTCCAATCGGGGATTTTAACTATTATTCATATTGGAATTAATTGTAGATGCAATGAAATTTCATAAATCTAAATATTTATCTCGTATAATTCATGTCTACGCTTGCTTGCTTCCTTGCATAAATCACTCAGTATATCCCATAGCATTAAATCAGGATTACGTGAATTACCACCCGCCCACCATCCATCAGCTTTCATTATGCATATATTATTTAGAAACATCCAGCTGCAGAATAGAATTATAAAAATTCGAGCTTTCTATATTTTGGTCATTTTTGTGTTCATATTTTGTGAATGCACAGCTAGCTTTCAACTAACAGTCTAGTAGTCATTATTATTTTTAGTATTGATTTACTAATTTAAAAAAATCAATATAATCTTATGTTGATACATGAATATTATGTACAAAACAGCTTAGAAGGTTGGATAGAAAAATCAATGATATTGATTTTATTTATTTGAAGCATATTTAACAACAATAACAACAGCCATAAATAATCATGCCTTAAAGGTCATTAGAAAGAACAAGAAAACATGAAACGCAGATATTTTGTGTTTTTCTAATAATTGATGAACTGGATAAGGTCGTGCGCGTGGCGTATGGAATTCGCAATGTTTCTGGTGAATATTCATCAAAGTTTCCCTTTCTTGGCGGACCTTCAAAAATTATTTAGTTTACACACCCACGCACACACACAGAATAAACGTGTATGTAGCACTCAAGAAAACAACAATAAAATGATATTTGTATGTATATACATACTACTGGTTCGCTCATTTTTTTAAATTTTCATCATTATTATTTTAATTTTTTTGCTTCACGTTCCCCATTGGAACATAGCGCTTCAAGCTAGTGGCTTGAAGTTTGTGTAGCAATGGTGTTTATTTTACAGGATAGGGTTGCTAGCCAGCCTCATGGCCAACCTTCCCTCTTTACCAGCATTATTATTTCAGGCATAGCGAGCGAGGTAAAGGAGTGCGTCAGTGGCCGGCCGTTGATCGAACCCTGGACCATGTTCATGGTCGGCGAGCGTCCTAACCGCCGCTATACCACCGACCCACAGTCTCAGGAAATGATTCTAATTCACCGTTTGATTCAAATATTCCATCGGATCATAGTGATGTTGATGCACCGGAAAACTTGAATTCATTTTCATTGGATAATCCAAATACAACGACTGAATTATTAATTAATCGAATGGAAGGGATGGCTAGCTAGGCCGGCACTACGTGCTGAAAATACAGCTCAAGAAGCAGCTGATCAACTGGAGGCTGAAAAACATTTCAAGCATATATATATATATAAAGAAACTTGTGCCGAATAAACGGATCAATTAAATGAAAAGACTCGTGAATTAGGAGTATAATACAGGAGTTGAATGCACTAAACTGTAAAATGATTCAAAGGACTAATGATGAGAAATAAGAAGCTGCTCTTAGAGCTCTTAATGAAATACACAACAAAAAGTTGGTCGTTATGTAGAGAAGCTGCACAAAGTTTGAAAGAATGTGCCCATGCGGGAAGTCAGCGAGCAGCACTAGCGAGTAGTGAAGCAGCGGTTCAGTTACCTGTTGAACTTGAACACGTATGACTCAGGTT